ACATTTAAATAATAATATAAACTAACAAGTTGACTATAAATAAAAATATTGCATGAGTATAACTACCATAAACTTTGAAATATTTAGTAAAAAGTGGAGTCTACATAATGAAGAAATTGGAAGAACTAACCAATTAAAGTTGATGAAAGGATATATTAAATAGTACTTCATAAACATAAAACTACAGGAAATGAAACAAAATAAAAAATTTAATAAAAATATTTTATAAATTCAGTGAGAATATATTGATGGGTAGCTTAAAGTAGCTTTTCCTCAATACATAGGGGTTTGTTATCTCTGTGACTGAATCGGATTAATAGTAGAGTCTTATACATGGAAGTGACTATCTCAGGGTCTATGACTGCCCTAAATTTTGACAACCAGCCTCAGTGTGTGTTAACTACATCTGTGACTACAGCAAACAATATTTTGTTATGACTGTAACCCACTCCTTAGCTCCACTGGAAACAATAGCCTTAGAATAAAAAATTAGTGTGACTTAATGATTTATCTGTGCAAACACATATATATATTTATGTAATATAACGTGTACATTATTTATAATATAATGTATAATTATGCCTGTGCTATATGTATATATACATATATGTATGACATTTATAGAAATGTTGGCCACTATCATATTAACAATGCATTTAGTAAATATGGAAGGATTTTGTGGCAGATACCAGCTGCTGGTAAGTCACAGGAAGTCTTCTCCTTTCATACTCCATAGAAGTCAATGTTGTTTGGATATTTTGAAGAAACATATGTTCATCAACAACTAATCATAATTTCCATTCTTCTTTCAGAGATTGCTTCAGGAGTAGAAAACTAAACCTTGGGGTGGCAGATACTATTTTGTTACAATAAGTACACATTCTTGAAGTTTAAAACCACCATGAAACAAACAGCAGAGCAAAGAAATGGAAAGTATTCATATTCTGATGAAGTTTTCTGGCTGAATCAATTAAATCTCAAGCACCTGTTTGCAGACCTCCCCTTATAAATGGTAGATTTCTATTAATTAAATGCCTATTACATTTCTTTACTTATTTCACTGGAAAATGAATGAAATGACAATTTTAATTTTAAAATTAAATTTATAGATTCTCTCATAAAATTATAGAAATACTATAAATCTACTAATGAAATTCCTTATGAGCACTGACTTAAATTATATAACTAAAGAATTCATTACCAGGAGAGGATCTAAGAACTACACCAATAACCTAAGAATTCTGAACAGTGGAAGAAACAGATGATTTGACTACAGAAAATGTAACTGTAAAATTAATAAAAAGACCCAACTATAATGTGGTAATAGGAGGAAAAGAAAATAGGAAGGTTGTAGTTCAGCCAAAACTGCTAGTCTTATTAAAGAAACATCAGGATATGCACACCTACATGCTGGCTAAATTTCAATGAACATAATTTTAATTGAATAGCAAGCCCTACAAAAAGAAAAAGGAAAAAGGAAACCCTGTGGCTTCAATCCAGAGGCAGCAGGAAATCAGAATGATTAGAAAAAAAGTAAAAACTAAAAATAAGCAAAAGAAGGCTTTTATTTTCCATTTACATACCAGAACATAGTGGTGTTTATCCACTTGTGAAGAGAATAAGCACTATTGTTTGGAGCCTTTCCTAGATGTGGGATGAGTGCTGAGAATATTACATAATACTTAAAGAAAAGTAGTATAGAAAGTGTCTATGGCAACATCCATAACTCTTTACAGGTGAAAATATGCATGATTAAAGACATGCAATTTAGAAAGCACATATTATTCATAAGGCTGGAAAATCAAAAGTGTAAAAGTTAAATTGACAACAAATTTAATTCTATATCATGATGATTGTTACTGCTGCTATAAATATGGAATGGCAGATATCTTTCTGATAAACTGATTTTATTTCTTTGGATATATACCCATTAGTGGGATAGCTGGATCATACATTAATTCAGTGTTTAATTTGCTGAGGAACCACCACAGTGCTTTCCATAATGGCGGTGCTAATTTACATTTTCACCCACAGTGCATAAAAATTGTCCATTCTCTACTCCCTCATCAACATTGGTCATTTTTTGTCTTTTCAATAATAGCCAATCAAAGTCACAGCCAGATTTAACTTATTTCTCAATAAGTTATATAGTGTTCTATTACACAGAGGTTGATTATAGTTAACAATATTGTATTTTATAATTCAAAATAAGTTGAAGCGAGGCTTTTGAATATTCTCTTCACAAAAAAATGATAAATGTTGAAATAATGAACAACCCAAGTATCTTGAGTTGAACAATTCCCAATTTATAAAGGTATTAAAATATTACACTGTGCCCCAGGAAGATTAATTATTACCCTTGGATAAAAAAGTAAACAATATTTCTTTCAAAATCAGGTGTTTAGGGAAAGATTTTTAAAAGCTCGAGAATAAGACATTATATTGAAGAAACTCCTGTGTATAAAGTAAAACAAAGGCTTTTGGGTGAAAGTACAATCAACACACACTCATTACTATACCAACAATTAATATCAACCACTTATCAGTATACAGTCAAAACTCAAGAAAAAATTTCTATACAAGTTCTCAGTAGTGACAATTAGGACCTTCGTTGGAATTATTGGGGTGAAACCACTGATAAACATAGTGTTCCCAAAGTCCAATCTTCTTCTAATAACATAATAAAAATATCATTATTTCAATTATAAAAAGATTTAATTAAAAAGATTAATAATATAACTACCAATAAGGCAATGCAGATCTGATAAAGAAAAAAATATATAGAATGCATATAGAATGAAAAAAGAATGAAAGTTAGGTCTGAAAAGATTTTGTGTGATATAAACAAAAGGGAGAGAATATAAAATATCAATTTTGAGAAAATAGATTAAAATTTATATTTATACTATAGACTAATTGACTTCACAAGAGGAACAAAGATATGAAATATGGGAGAAATAAAATGCAAGAATATCATGGCTGGAATTTTTCCAGAATTGAAGAATCATACGCTCACTCAGATTCCAAAATGAAGGAAAACAAATACAGAGACTCCCCATCCAAGAAATACATAGGCTATAATATCATAGTAAAGTATAGGAAAAAATGTCCAGAATGTTAGATTTTCAAAATAACTAATGAGAATGGAAAAAATGACCACACAATTGTTGTTGGCTTTTAACAGCAGCTGAGGGTAACAATGAAAGCCAAGAGTATGAACCAGAATCTTTAAATTGATGAAGGTAAGTAATAGCATATACAAGCTGTCATTCTAAGGGGGAGCAAAATGAAAATACTTTTATAAAAACAAAATCTTATGACTTACCTAGAGAATTTTCAAATGATATATTTCACAGAGAAGAAAGAAAAACCTATCTATAAGTAAAGACATGATATAATCTGTATTTGACAAATTCCCTGTGCTGGGACAAAATATCTGGGATCTGCACTTAAAACTGGAGATATTTATTTTGCCTAACAGTTTCTGTGAATTCTATCCATGGTTAGCTGGCTCCAGAGTTGTACAGTATGGAGAAAAGTACATGAAAGAGGAAATTTGCCCACCTCATGGCAGCCAGGAAGGGCGAGGGGCGGCGGGGGGGGGGGGGAGAATACATCCTTCTGTGTCATGCCTCAGTTTCCCACACCCAGCCAGGTCTCACCTCTTAAAAGCACATTCAGCTACTGAACTCATCAAAAGATAAACCTACTGTTGAGTAGTATCCCCGGGATCCAATCACCTTCCAAACACATGAGACTTTGGGGGCATCATAGATCTAAACCACTACATAACTTTAAAGGTGAGCAAAACAATTGAGGAAGAATAGAGATAAATTTAATACATTATTTGGTTATAAAGCAATAACTACATTGATGATTCAATTGTCCACGGATTGCTGAAACCATTCAAAAACTTATATTTAATTTTTTTCTTGCATAAATCTTCCTTTGAGGATGAGCACAGACAGATGTTCTGCTTCCCGTAGCATCAGTGGGACTGGAGTGTTCAAGATGCTCTCTTATTTTATATACTGGCAGACTCATTGTGATGGCAGAAACATCTGGGCTAAGTGTTTTTCTTCATGTGGATTTCCAGTAGGGTTGCTGAATAGCTACATTTAGAAGAGAATGTAGGCTACACATCTCAGTGTGCAGGGAGTTATCAATCCTCTGCCTGTGTCATGTTTGCTATTGCACTTCGTTCAATTTGAATCAAATGGTCAGACTGTGCTCTTCTCAGAGAAGAATACATATTACATTTTGTGTTCTCTAACTTGTAACATTCATTTAACAAATTATTAATTTAGTAATATATATTATAATGGAGATAATAAAGATACTACCAGATATGTAATATTAACTTTTAGTAAGAAATCCAATTCACTGCAGAATTAGATATTATTGATTTAAGTTTCAATACTTGATATATCACTTAAAATCACTGTCTTCTTGGATAATTTGCAAAACCTTTTTCTTTCATTGTATTATGGAAAACAATATATAAAATACCATTGTAGGGCTAATAAATATGATATGTTCATAAAAATTATAGCAAGTCTCATAGATAGCTTCCTTTATTATTAGGAGAATAATAATAAAAGAACAGCATTTTCTAAGATAGTGTTTTACAATCTATACATTTTTTATCTTTTTTCTGAAGATTTCATAATCCTTAAGTACCTTGAGATCACAACACACATGTACAAATTCAAATATAGCATACATTTAATTTACATTTTTTACTTAACTGAAATTAACATCCAGTTCCTTAGATATTAGGGGGAAATCAATTTTAAAAATCTGTATTTTTTCTGTACATCTACTTTCCTGGTGAAGTCTTAGCATTAGAATGCACACATTAATGAAAGAGTAAAATATTTACTATTGGAGTATGTATTCTTATTGGGCTATGACTTTTTAGACATTTTGTTGCTCAGGATTTTTAAAAATCTCACAAATTCACATTTTAGGATTTTGTTCATGGCTATATAGTTATTTGATTATTGTATTCAATATTGAATTGTATGTTAGATACATTTATAGGAACCTGAATTTCTTACAGAATAAACTAAGTCATACAATGTTTGTTTTAGATTTTACGGGCATATGTGGTAACTTCTTTGCTGTAACTGTCTTTTTCTTCTCATTCATTTGCCATGTGGCCTAAGATTCAAATAAACAAACAAAATCTAAAAGTACAACTTTGCTTAAAATATATCAAAAATGTATTTTGAAAGTAAGAACCAGGTGGTGAGTAGGTCCAGGAATAATTTCTCCATTCACATACGTTATAAATACTGTTTAAATATAGGTACAATTTTTAGAATTTGATTGGTCGCATCCAACAATTTTATTTTAGACATGAAGACCATATGTAAAATTAAACAGAAAACATAAGCAATTTTGTATGCACCAACTTTAGAGTAGAATCATGATAATATAACTTACATAGATAGATTATATAACCATGGTAGTTTCATGACAGTTAGGTCTCAGCATTGTTGTAAACTATTTCATCTGATACATTTATAATACCTAAAAATTCTGTGAAATATGTAGAGTAACCTTTTGATTTCAATATTACAGATCAGGAGATTAGGACATAGAATGGCTTAAAGATAACTGATACTAATTGAGTAGTGTTTGTGGAAATAGAGTGAGAAATAATATGCCAACTAAAAGGATTAAAAATGTTTCATTCCTCTAATTGGTAAGTACATTTATTACATGAGTCCAACCAGTAGTTAAAGTAAAGTAAGTAAGCTATATTGACAAAACTGAAGGTAAACTTAAATAAAAGAATGATGGTTAGGTCTCTGGTGTGGAACTGTGACTCATGTCTCCTGTGATTTTAGAACAGTATTCAAGAGCTCTTAATCACCCATACCCCATTCGATGTGATGGATCAAGAAAGCTGCCTATTTGTAGCAAGGTGTATAGGGGCACACAGAATAAGTTGATATCAAAACACCTAGAAAACAATGAAAAACAAAACAATAGTCACTAGATTATTTCAAAACAACCAAGTAGGAGATGGGGGCAATCTATAAAATTGTTTCAAAAGTAGATGAAGCAGAAATTAAGTAGAAAGGAACATTTACCACATGTAGATGAGCTGCTCAACAAAAAAGCAAATTAGGTAGTATATTTATATATACTAAAATGAAGTAAATAGAAGTAAATACAGTATTCCAAAAACAAGGCTTAAAAGTACCCTAGTCAAAATGTATCATAACTTTCTGAAAATGACTAAATTATGAATACCTCTTACCCAGTGTTTTTTGTTTTCACAGAAGATTGACTATAGAAGGTATAAAGATGTTGCAGAAATTTAAACACTGGTATAAATTATACAAAATAAATAATTTTAAAAATGCAATTCAGGAAGACTAGTATAATGATTAGATAAACAAGTCACATATATATAGAACAAAATGTTGCAATATCATAACACTATTACATTTATATTGACTGGACAGCTAAGTCACAGGTATCATGGCTAAAATGACAAATGATTTAGATAAAATTTACATAAGATATTTTACACAATCCTCTTTCACTTGAGCACAAGAAACCAAATAAGAGCATTTTAATTATTTCAAAGGGTTAGCACACATCTTAATTTTTAGAACTTTTAAAATATTTTATATGATAATAGTTTAAATAGTTTTGTACCAATTCTGAACCCTAGGAACATACAGAGAAAATTAACAACATATGTAAAACAATTTAATTTGTGAGACAACTACAAGGTAACATTCTAAGAAAAGTTCTGAGAATGAGCAAAATATAGAGAAATAAATTCATTATTTGAGGTCTTCTGGACTTATGGAATTAGCCCTCCATGCAGAACAACTCAAGTTGTGAATCAAACAATGCTTTGAGACCAATGAAGAAATAGTGAGAAGTAGGCATAGAATGTTTCATCTGTCAAATATACCCATCAATTCAAAAGGAGGCAGTAGAGTTGCATACTTTCTATTGCTACAGAATATAAAATCAGAAATTTATCAAAACTCAAAATAATGCAGATTTACTATCTTACAGTTTTTGTGATTTAAATTGGTACATGTTTATGTTAGATCCTCTGTTGAGGGTTTCATGAGACTGGTATCAATGTGTTGGAGTGCATGCATATTCATCTGTAGACTCACATGGGGAAACATCTTGCTTTATGCTCACTCTAGTTGTGAGCAGACATTTTCGCTGTGGAGATATGACTAGGATGTGTATTTTCATACTTGATCTTGGCCAGGGGCCACTCTCACCTCTAGGACTCATCCTTGACATGGAACTCTCTCTGCAATATGGCAATTTTTCCCAAATTGTTTTTCTTATGCTGGCTCTGAACCCAATGACTTGAGCATGGTAAGCAAGCGTTCTATTCTTTCTTTTTTTTTCTGGTACCGGGAATTGAACTCAGGGCCTTGCACTTGCCAGGCAGGTGCAGCGGCACTGAGCTAAATCCCTGGCCTGGCAAGTGTTCTACTGCTGAGCTACATCACCAACTTCTCTTCTCTTTTCTCTTCTCTTCTCTTCTCTCCGCTTTTCTTCTCTTTTGTGTCAGGATCTCACTAATTAGCCCATGTTGGCCTTGAACTCATGAGCCTTTTGCCTCAGTCTCCCCTTATGTGTCATAACACCCAGCTTGTTTCACCTATTTAAAAACATCTCAATGTATTATATCAAGAAAACCCAGAATGATTTCTCTTTTGATTAAGTCAAAGTTAACTCAATATCAAATTTTTCATAGGAACCACATTACTTTGTATTCATCAGTCTTGCCCCCATTGAAGGGGAAGGATCATACAGGCAGGCATACAGCTTGGAGTTCTCTTCTGCCACCTTTGAATTCTCTCCAGAAAAAAGTAAAGCAAAGACAATAAGGACAAAATATATGGTAGATTTAAATATAATTATATTAAAAAATGTAAAAGATGAAATGTTCCATTTATAAAACAAGGAAAAGCCAATTGTATGTTGTTCACATGTAGCATGTCTAAAGTTTAAGAATAGAAAATATTTTTGACAAAATGTAACAAAAATAAAGTTATTTGTAGCTCTAATATCAGAAAAAGGATTAATTTAAAATCAGTTAGAAAAAATGACATGTATATAGATAGAATGGTAAGTCATTGAAAACATAACAGTTGTAAATTAGTGTATTTAATAATATACCCTCAAAGAGATTTAGCACAATTATGTATATAACTTCCAATCCATAATGATGCATACAGCATAATTCTGGGATATTTTTAACATATTTTTTTCTTAGCAGTGTATGTATCATATATTGAAAAAAATAATATATATATACATATAAATATATATATCAAGAATACCCAATTATTTGAATGAATTAACATATTCAAAATAATTAGATTTTTTTCAGTGGACATTAAGCAATCATAAAATTAAAATATTATATACTACAAAATATCTAAAATAGTAAAGATATTGGAAAGATTTATATTATGCTTTGTGTCCATAGGTAGTATTTAGCAAGAAATTATTATCAAGAAATGATAAATAGAAAATATGTATTATATAAAAACTGACAAAAATTATTACAAAAATATGTATTTTGAGTTTCATGTTAATAAATTTAATGAATGTTAAAATATATGTCTCACAACTAAAACTGTGATTAAATGTAAAATTGAGTCCTAAATATTTATATTAAAAAAGAAGAAATTTAGTGAACTATGTATCTATTACAGAAAATAATAAGACAACTAACACAAAGTTTACAGAATGGAAAAATAATAGCAGAAGCTAACATAGTAAAAGTATAATATATTAAACTGAATCACAAAAATTTGATGCATTTCACAGAACAGTGAATAAATCTGTCAAGAAAGATATTTTATATTGAGAGAGATGGCAATTACAACTTGTATGAAAAATGAAAATTGTTTTGATTGTTTATAGACTAATGCAAAGGTAAGGTTTCAAAGGCAAATTTGGCTTAGTTTATGGACGTTTGTTTCAGGTGATATAAGGAAGTGGGATTTTTCTGGAGATTTTTGAAAAAAAGAACATCCAGGAAGCTTACTGAAATTACTATCAGACAAGAATGAAATTCAGAATTATTGAAATGTACTGAATGAAAGACTTAGTAGACAGTTGAATTGTGAAGTTGGGGATAAGGATCTGTGAATAAAAATTTAAATCTTTAAACCTTATTTGTAGGATATCTAAACACCCATTACTTCAGAAGTCTATTTACAATGAGGAGAAATAGAAAACTGCACATAGAAATTGGTGTAGATGACTCCATTATGGAATATGAACCAGAGTACCTATTGCCATTCAAGTGGAGATTGCATAAGCAGCTGAAAATGAGGTTTGTGTTGGGCGTAATTCTATATAATTTTGGGAAAAAATAATTTGATTAGGCCTAGTTCTCCTGCCTACAGGCCAGCTATGGCATTTCAAGGCATAACTCCATTTTGGCCTCCAGTCACAGCTAAGACCTCAATGGTCCAGCGATGCTGTGATGCTCCAGGACAAGATTACACCAGCTGAAGATATCCTGGGAGGAACAAAATATTCATCTGCATAGTTCCTCATTGTTCCAGGATTTCCACCCCCCCCCAAGTCATCTGTTACACTTGTTTCTCCTGATGTACTGAACTCTCTGTCCGGAATCATTTGTTATATTTGTTTCTCCTGATGTACTGAACAAAGGTGTGGCAAACTGGGGGGTTTTCATCTTTGCCACCCAGCTCAGCATTGATCAGACTAAAAGCTTGGCTTCTCAAAGTGTCATTTTTTCCACCTTTCCTGTACAATAAGTTAATTCACCTTGTGTTGTCGTGGCTCGCAGGAGACTAGGACTTATGTTATAGTAACTTTCCCTTTCCCTGTTCTCTACAGGTTTGTACCTTAATCTGTTCAAGCTACTACAGCTCTGTATATTACTGTTTTATTTATTTATTTATTTATTTATTTATTTATTTATTTATTTATTTATTATTTTGTACCGGGGATCAAACACAGGACCTTGCTCTTGCCAGGCAGGCAGTGGCACTGCTGAGCTAAATCCCCAGCCCTCTAAATTACTGTTCTTAAGATTCTCTGAGAGTGATTAAATAATGAGGCTTTGTTCAGCAAATTTGGATGAAAAGAGATTCTTTGTTATCTAAATCCATTCGGTTCCTGATCATCAAATAACAAACAATAAGAATACAAAATATGTTGAATACAATAGAAGTAAGTAAAACTATGCAGTAATATGGTGTGTAGTTGTAGTACTAGTAATAATAAAAAGAATGGTAAGAGATATCTAAGAATTTTTAAAATTAATGTTATGGTTTTGTCTAGATGTCCCCCACTAGCCTCATGTGGTCATAGGTCGGCTTTTTTCAGAGGTGGCTGGAAATAGAGTGTGTGATACTGGAATTGACTCATGGGGTGATGCTAGCATCAAGGGCACTAGGTTTAAGGGTGTGAGTGCTACCTACCCTAAGAAGCCTGGATAAGGTAAAAAGAATAGAAAGAGCCAAGGTTGTCCTTTTTGCTTTGTTACCTTCTGCCCACCATGAAGAGTTTTTCCTCTGCAATTCCTGTCTGCCATGCCACCTTGCTTTGGAGCTAGCCAATTATGAGCTAAAATCTCTACAAACTGTGAGCTAAATAAACCTTTACCCCTTTAAATTTGGGTGTTGTGTATTTTGTCTCAGCAACAAGAGAAAAGTAACTAAGAGACTTAATGACACAGAACAGACTTTAAAAGAAAATGAAAATAAACTCTCTGAGGAGTAGAATGTGGTAATGACATATCACAGAAAAGAGTGGAATGAACTAATTTATAAAATTAACTGTCCATGAGTGAGAGAATAAGCTCAGGAACCATAGTCAAATTTGAAGTGATGGATTTAAGAAAATTTTAACAGGCAATATAAAAAAGTTTATTGGATGTAGAGAAGAAGCAGTAATAGAAGTTAAAAATTAGTCTTTGAATATTTGATTTTCATAATAACATCATCACTCATAAGAGAAACAAATATAGATAATAGAATTTTTTTTTGAGGGAAGTGTGATGAGATTGGCTTAGGACATGCATTTAGTTTGGGAGATTATCTGCTTTAAACACCAAGCTTTGAATATTTATAACTGAAATTTTGGGAGAGCAGTCTGGACTTGATACTGTAAAGGCCCAGTGTTAGCTTTTGTTGTGAATTAGCTTTATAAGTTTACTATAACAATGATCACAGAATTTGTGACTTTAAAAGCTATGAACGTTAATTCTCTCACAGTTATAAAACTTGGAAGTTGAAAATTAGGATGTGGTTGCATGTATCCTACCTTTGCAGCCTCTTGGGTAGGGTATCTCCTTGCTGTGCCAGCTTCCGTAGCCTTAGGTGTTCTTTGACCTGTGACAACATAAATGGATCACTACTCAGTCTTTCGCTTTCACGTGGTTATCATGTCAAGGTACCTGTATATGATATTATTTCATTCTTCTGACACATCAGTCATATTGGATTAAGTGCTCGCTCTACTTAAGTATGACCTCATTTTAACTAGATCAATCTGCAATGAACTTATTCCCAATATATTCATTGATGAATCAATGGGAATTAGAGTCCAACATACAGTTTTGATAGGCATAATTCAACTCATAACAACTATGTTCTAGATGATGTACCAACAGTCAATACAATAAACATCTAGACATGCTCTTTCGCTTGACTCATTTGCAGGTAATTGAGTGTCTCTTCTCTTTTTTCTCCTTTGGAAGAGTAACATATTTAATTTCATTTCTCTAGGCTTTTTTTCTTGATTTAAGTACTGGCTGAGAGACAATTAAATCAAGTTAGATATTTAGCAAAGAATCTCATGGTGAGACTCTAGACTAGGTCTGCTTCCTAATGCTAATTGTTGAACTTTTAAAGTAGATCTTTGATCAGCTGTATGCAAGAGTTGTGTCTCCCAACACTGATAGTCTCAGAACTTCTCAAAATTTAACTTCACTTGTATTTTTCCTCTACCCAATATATAAATCAGCTTGTGTCTTTCTTGTTGTAGTATGCCAAATGCAGACTGCATCATCAATAAAAATTAAATTTTCAAGTTCCCTAGATATATAACTTGCTTTCACAGTACTGGTTTTGACAGTTTTGCCAAATAATTCCTTGTGATGTTTCCTCATTTTCTCTGACTACAAAATTGTGTCTTTCTCTGTCTCTCTGTCTCTGTCTCTCTGTCTCTCTCTGTCTCTCTTTTTTCTTTTATCTTTATGTCTGTCTGTCTTTCAGTTATCTTATAGGAAAACAAGAAAAAAGCAGTCATTTATAAGATAGTTTTAATTTTAATTTATTTTTCATGCATGTTGACTGAAGTCAGCTGTGGTTCTGCTAATGTGTCTTTCTGGTAAAAGATCATCCTGGATCTTGATGTACAATTTTTATGGTAGGAAGAAAAAGAGTAGAGATATTGATAGTATGTTGCCAGGGGTTTTTGCTTCAACATAAAAATGATCATATCTGCTCATTTCCAATAACCAAATAAATTCCATTTGAACTGAGTTAATGTGATGCTAAACTCCCTTCACACAGGGGAATGGCAATAACTGGAAAATGTAAATAAAGTATTATAATCCTTTTATATGGTAGTCAGTGGATTGTTAGGAATGATGACAAATTATAACATATTTAAGCCAATTATAGATTTAAAGGGAAACAAAGTTAAAGAAATAAAAAAAAATCATTGTTTCTTAAAATATTGGATGAAAAAGAAAAAGAGAAAACTAGGAGACAGTAGAGAGATATATGTATGTATTTATGAGTGTTTTGGTTCAGATTGTGTTAATAAAAGTGTGTACTTAGAGACTGATGAAGAAGTGGGAGTATCACTCATTTTACTTAGAAAAAATAAAGACAAGTAGTGGGTAAACTGTTCACAAGAGGTTTGTTTATTCAAGTGAAAAATTAAAACTGATATCCTAGGTTCCTTCTATAAATTAAGCAATAATCCAATCTACCAAGTATTAAATACAAAAAAATCATTAAAGATCTAGATTAATCACTGTTGGTAACAAAGTTGGTTCAAATCTTCCAGTCAAGGTAGTGAATGCCTACAGTCTCCAGCTACATGTGAGGCTGAAGCAGGAGGCTCACAAGATCAAATCCAGCTTTGGCAGCTGTTTCGGATCTTTTCTCAAAAATAAAATAAAGTAAGGCTTGGGAAATAACACAAAGGTGCCAATCTTTCCCAGCATTTGTGATGCCCTGAATTCAATCCCCATTACAGGAGAAATATATTAGTAAAGGGATAGATATATGCCACTAGGAAGCCAGGAGAAAAGCTGAAGAATTTGAGTTTTTCAACACATTAATTTAAACTACACTATGATTTCATCAACATTTTATAGATTCGAGATAGTAGACCTTTGTCTGAGGAAGAGCAGGTCAAGATTTTTTCCCACATTGTGGGTTGTCTCTTCAATAAGAAGAGATCCCATTTGTTGATTGTTTGTGCTAGCTCACGGGCAACTGAGGTTTTGTTCATAAAATCTTTTCCTACACCGATGTCTTCAAGGGTTCTACCTAACATCTGTTCCAACTGGTTCAGAGTTTCTATTTTAATATTTAGATCTTTAATCCAGTTTGATTTTAGTTTAGTGCATGGTGAGAGATATAGGCCTAGTTTTAATCTTTGGCAAGTTGAAGCCCAATTTTTCCAGCACCATTTATTAAAGAGGCTATCTTTCCTCCAGTGAGGATGTTTGGCTCCTTTGTCAAAGATGAGATGGCTAAGTGTGTCTGGTGTTGTTTCTGCATCTTCTAATCTGTTCCACTGGTCAAGTCTGTTTCTTTGCCAGTACCATGCTGTTTTTATCACAGTAGCTTTGTAGTAGAGTTGCAGGTTGGGGATTGTGATACCCCCTGCCATGTCTCTGTTACTTAGAATTGCTTTTGCTATTCTGGGTCTCTTCTTGTTCCAAATGAATTTCTGGATTGTTTTATCGAGGTCTATGAAGTATGCTGCTGGGATCTCAATTGGAATTGCATTAATCTATATAGCAGTTTTGGAAGCATGGCCATTTTCACTATATTAATCCTTCCTACCCAGGAGCAGGGGATGTCTGTCCATTTTCTGATATCATCTTCAATCTCTCTTTTCAGAGTGCCATAGTTTTCAGAGAAGAGGTCTTTGATTTCTTTTGTTAGGATGATTCCTATTTATTTCAATTTTTTGGATGCTATTGTGAAAGGAATTATTTGCCCCATTTCTCTCTCAGTGAGTCTGTCATTGGTGTAGAGGAAAGCTATTGATTTTTGTGTGTTGACCTTGTAACCAGCTACTTGACTGAATTTGGTTATTAAGTCTAGAAGACTTTTGGTGGAGTTCTTGGGGTCTTCTATATAGAGTATCATGTCATCTGCAAATAATGACAATTTGACTTCTTCATTACCTATCTTTATTCCTTTTATTTCTTTCTCTTGTCTATTTGCCTGGCTAATGCTTCCAGAACTATATTGAACAAGAGTGGTGATAGTGGACATCCTTGTCTTGTTCCTGATTTTAGTGTGAAGGATTTCAGTTTTTGACCATTTAGTATGATATTGGCTGTTGGTTATTCATAGATGCCTTCTATCAGTTTGAGATAGAGACCATGTATTCCAATGTTTTGTAGGGTTTTTATCATAAATGCATGTTAGATTTTGTCAAATGCTTTTTCTGCATCTATGGAGATAATCGTATGGGTTTTGTCCTTGGTTTTATTGATATAGTGTATTACATTAATTGATAGAATATGAGAAGGAAAGGACTCATATCTTCAGAAAATTAGTCAATAAAATTAGCAAAGATGGTACATGAATGAATACCTGACTGAATAGTAATTTCAGTGTTAGAGAAAGAGAAGAAAACTGAGATTAGGAATGTTGATTATAAAAAGAAAGATGCATCCAATTGCTAAAGAACAAAAGAAGGGAGTAGCCAACTCTTAAATAATTGTTCAACATTTAATATTTGGAACCCCTATAGCTAGTGCAGAAAAGAGCTAATGGAATCTGTAGAAATATTTCACAGCAACAAATCCCTTATTTTTCACAACTTCATTACCATCCTTCTTATACAACTTTGTCACACAAAACTGAAAATAATGTGTACAAAATATTAATAGTGACTTTTTCTGAACAAGTAAATGTGTGCTGTGTATATATACTACCTACGTGACAACATCATTCTTTCCCTATTTTCTTAATGTTATTTAAAAATAAATACCTGTATACATCTCTTGTGTATGATACATATTCTTAAAAGTGTGTTTGTGTGAACACAGATATATAAATACTCATTTTGTGGCATATGCTGACTTCTAAAATATTTAAAATATAGGTATATTTTTATCATGTAAAATACACGTCAGGCAAAAAGCCTGTAAAAAGAGACAAGGAAGATCATTATACAATGAAAAATAAGTTGATTTGGCAAAATAATGTAACAATATTAAGTTTATGTACAGCCAACATCCAATGGTCTAAATATACAGCAAATGCTAATAGATCTAAAAGGAGAGACAGACTGCCAAATGATAATTTTGTGGCTTCACCACATTATTATAGCAATGACTGGATTATTCAAATTAAAAAATCAATAAAAAAATACGGGATTCATGCTAATGTACAGATATAGAACATTTCATCCAGCAGCAGCAAAGTATACTTTCTTTATAATTATACATAGAACATGCTGTAACATAGATTGCGTGTTAAGACAGGAAACAGTTTTAACAATTTGAAGATTTTTTCAAAAAGTGTCTTTTCTGACTACAATGACATAAACCAGATATTAATAATAGGAGGAAATTTATATCACAAATAAATGAAATTTAAATGACACACTCCTAAATAACAAAAAGTTAATAACCAGACCGAAAGAGAAATTTAAAATGAAATACTTCTAACAAACATAAATGGAAACACAACGTACTCAAACATGCAGGATATAGCAAATGCAATTGGAAATTGGTAGTTTATATCAATAACTACCTATATAATTAAAGAAGAAGGATCACATAAAAAACTTAAAGTTGCATATTATAAAACTAGAAAAATAGAAACTGAGCCCAAAGTTAGAAAAAGGAAGGGGATAATATCAGAGGTGAAATAATTGAAATACAGATTATAAAACCAATAAAAAAGACCTAGAAAATTAAGAAAAATTTTTGAACATTTACCTAGACTAGTAAAAACATAAGAATTATAATAAATATAATCTGAAATTAAAATGAGGAATTACAACTAATTTCATAACAATATAAATGATAATAACACACTAGTATGAATAATTACATGCCAGTAGATTGGATAAGCTAAAATAAATGCATAAATTCCTAGAAACATACAATCTAGTAAAACTTTCA